GGGGAGGGTGGGGGAGGGTGGGGGAGGGGAGGGGAGGTCACCCTTACCTTGGATGACTAAGTGATGTCTAAAAGATCCCGAGTGATTGCAAGAAGAGAAGTTCAGTGCAGCCATTCAGGCAGTGTTAGTTTGTTAGTCTGTGCTTTTGTAGAGCTATTTTCAAATTTCTGACCAAGAATTCAATCTCAGCCCTTGCCAGGATAAATTCTTCTGTCAACGTTTAGTATTTGAAATGATTCTTGGTTGAAGCTGCCTAGGTAATACTGAAATAGCTACTTGAACCCTGCTACTTGTGTTTGTCTAAAAGCACAGAACAACGAGAAGGCTGGAGCTCCCAGGTAGGAGCTGTCCTGAGTTTTCTGCAAAGCTGGAGCTGCTTGTTTGAAGGGTGACATCCCATAGCCTGGATCCTTTGGTCAGGGACAAAGTGTAGGTGAAGCCACATTTTTACTATCCCAAATTACAGAATGACAGAATCTGCCAAGGTGGAAAGGACCTACAAGGATCATCCAGTCCAACCCCTGGCCCTGCACAGGCCCATCCCCAAGAGTCACCCCCTGTGCCCCAGAGGATCAGCCAAAGCCTCCTGCAGCTCTGGCAGCCTTGGGGCTGTGCCCACTGCCCTGGGGAGCCTGGGCAGTGCCCAACCAGCCTCTGGGGGAAGAACCTTTTGCTGAGATCCAACCTGAGCCTGCCCTGACACAGCTCCAGGCCATTCCCTGGACTCCTGTCAGTGGTCACCTTGCTTTGAGGATAGAGCTTGAATTGCTGACAGCTTTTGGAACTTTGGTTGGAAGTTCCCATTTCCTTCATCCCTCTTTGTATTGCCGTGTGTCATCTGCCCACTGTGGCTGTCCTGGAGCAGGAGAGATGGATGTGAGAGAGGGCAAAGCAGTGGCTGTCCTGGAGTAGGAGAGATGGGAGATGTGAGAGAGGGCAAAGCAGGCTTCCCAGGGGAGCACAGTCCATGCCAAATTAAGTGATAATGAGACAGATGATTCCTGGGTAGATCAGACTCACTTTGAATGCCCACAGTGCATTTTAACATGGAAGAACTGGAACGTCAGCTATATTCCCTCTTTTATTGAAACAGAAAAACAAACAAACAAAAAGGAACTTCTGACAAGCTGGTGGCAGATTTCAAGTTTCCTACTCAGGAATAATTTGAGGTAACTCTTTTTTAGCATGCCATATTTCCAGTTATTAAACTGTGTGTGGTCTGTCCCAGTCCTCACTACCAGAGAGCCCTTCATTTCGGTCTCAGTACTGGGGCACCTGCAGTGTGTGCTGCTCTCCAGGGAGCTGCTGAGGCCTGAAGGAAGCCTTTGAGAGGCTGGGTGGGATCCTCACAGGCTCCCTTTGAGAGGCCGGGTGGGATCCTCAGAGGCTCCGTGAGCCGAGTCCTCTGGGCTGGTTCACAGGCACGAGGGATGGGCCGGGTTTGCTTGGAAGTTCAAGCTCAATGAACTGAGACTTGGGAGAACAATTCCTCTGGCTGCCATCACCATCCTGTGAAGGCCTCTGAACTCTGTCCTTCCTAAGAAACCCCCCAACCTCTCCCCAGCCACCATCCCTTTAATACGTTCACAAGTTTTCCTGACAAAAGAGCAATTACAACCTGACAGAGACAACTCACAAAGAGAATGGGGATGACCCCTAGGAGAGGTTTATGCGACTCAACACATGACCAGTCACCAACAAAGCCAGCACTGCTTCCATTTGATCACAGAAGAGCCTCCCAGACTGGCATGCTTGACCAAAAACTGACTGGGTGACTCATTCGTCTGGCGGCTCTGTGATTCATGAGCCTCCAGGAGGAAGGGAGGAGGGAGCTGAAGGCTTTTCAAATCTGAGCTTAAATGCAAGAGAAACACATTCCCCAAAAAGCAGACACTCGACTGTGTCCAATTGGTGCCTGAATAGCCACACAAAGCCAGGGCAGGAGTCCCGTGTGACGCACGGCGAGGCTCCCGGGCCCAGCCACACCGCAGGCTGCACCTTTCCCAAGTCCGTGGTTTGGAAGAGCTCAAAAGTATAAACAGGAATAGTTCCTTACATCTTATCCTCGTGTGCTCCGTCCGTTCTGGCCCTGGGATTCCCCAAGGAATGTCCCACTTGTGAGTGCTTTGGAGCTGATAGCGAGAGCTTTGACCTAATATTCAGGTCAAAAAACTCAAATGACTTCGACCAGCTGAAATATAAGCTTCTGATCACACTAACAATTTTGGCTCCCTCTCTTATCTATGAAGCAAGTGTATTCATAGACAGGTGTCCCATCCTCAGAGGTGTTCACAGTAGTTAGGATGAACCCTCCACTGGAGGCACATTTCCTCCATGACCCGTGGAAGAACCTCCCCAGCTGGCCTGACTAACTGCCCACTTTTCAGTGGCAAGAGTGAGGAGAGTCCCTTGGCATCAAGGAGGACCTTCCCCTTGGTGCTGTCTGCACCCTGACAGGAGCTGGGAGTGGTGCAAAGTGCTCACTGCAATGCTTATGCTTCCTCCCACCATCCCCTCCCAGTCAGCCACTTTATTTATTGTTATTTATTGCTTCAGACATATGGGTCAAAATGCTAAATTATTTAACTGCTGATGCCAGATGGATTTTAAAACAATTAACAAGTGCTAGAAATGGGCAGCTTGCTCTCTCTCTTGGATTTTGCCAAAAAAAAAGTGCCTGTTTGCTGTTTGTTTGTCAGAGTTTGTGCCTCCTGCTCCCTGTGGCCATGTCTGGCCTCCGAGCATGTTTCTCCCTCAGCGAGTGCTGGCCTGAGTCAGGGCCCAGCTGGTCGGGGCACAAGCTGAAATGCCCCAGAGTTACATTTTTTTTTACATTCCTAGTGTTGTTATTGTGATCCTGGGTGATAGACAGGCTGTATCACCCCCCTGCCATGGCTGGATTCCACCACCCCACATCCATGCTGGGGAGATAACTGCAGGAGGCAATAAAGTCCCAACATCAGGGGCTTGGGGCTTAAATTTCTGGAAGCACCAAAACAGCTTTGAAGGATCCAGGTCTGAGCTCGTTCTTTCTGTGTTGTGGCACATGGGAAGACTCCATCTGGGATGGGGAGACCTGCATCCAGAGATGTCCAGTTCCCATGAGCCATCGGGGTCCAGGGGATGTTGCCACTCACACCCATGTGAGAGACTCCAAAGTGAAAATCATCTCTGACCATTAAGGCTGGGAATGAAGTTCACAAAATACGATGAATTGTCATCCTGGGATGCCCTCTGAGGTTGTCCTTCCTAAGAAACCTCCTACCCTCTCCCCAGCAACCCTCCTTTGATACATTCACAAGTTTTCCTAACAAAAGAGCAGGGTAAAATAAATAAAAAAAAAATTCCAAGGGGATCAAAATCAATCCAAGGTGCTGTACAATGTGTTGGTGAGGCCCTTCCCTCTCAGGGATTTTATGGTTTGCTCCAACCAGCAATCCAGATCCTCTATAGTAAGACAGTTGGGGACAAGTAGCTCCATGCTTCCCAAGGCTCACAGCTCCACGTGAGCAAGGCAAGAGCATCCTCTGACCACATTTCAAAGCCCATCTCACAGGCCAGATTTTGGCCACCAAGCATTTGTTTATCTCCACAGCATAGGATGTGCTTTGTCCACAGTTGAAGGGAGGGTTTGTTTCTCTTTTGAGTTTGTGATCACCCATAAAGGCAGGTACTTTGCATTTAGCCACAGGTTTATGAGACCCTGCTGCCAGCCCAGCTCTCATGCATCCCTTGGTAGGACTTGCAGCCCTCTGCCAGCTCCAGGGAATAGGGTAGATGATGGAGCACATTTAACTGAGTTTCTGGTTCTAAAAAATGTTACACTAGGCTAAGGGTTTGGACCTGAATGAAAGTGGTGGATCTAATTTTAGACAGTACCTATGAATGAAACTTGAAACGAGCTGTTCAGGAAATACCTTCCTCTGCAGCAGTGCCAGGGAGAGTATGGGATTTAATGCTAAATTAGCCAGTGCCTAGGAACAGGTTACTGTGAGAATACTTTTTCCTACTTTTAACTAAATTAAATTTTAAAAAGAAATCTTATTTTCTACGTAGGTGTCTGTGTCCTTCTGCAAAAGCTGCAGACCTTTCATCTGTCTTTCTCTGCATCAGCACCTTTTGCTGCATGTTCATCACTGTGGCC